ATCAATATCAATGAAGTCTCCACGAGGTGCCATCGATGTAGCGTTTAAATGTGCTATTTTACTATTTATTACTTCAATCAATTGACCTTTCAGCCCGTCTATTTTTTGGCTTAAATAGTTACGGCTATTTATTATAAGTTCCCTTAATGTCCCTATTAATTAAACAATAAATATTTTTTAAATAAAAGTTGTTATTTATATTAACTGTTAAATAGTATTTTTAATTCATTTATTAATTTTTAAATTTTATTTAAAAAATATTTTTAAAAATTTTGTTTACGAACTTATTTATTAATACAAATCTTTTATATTAATTGTTATTTTATATATTGTTGTTGATTATATTAATGCTATTTGCATCTTAAAAATCTGTAAATAACTTATTGCGAAAAATATTGCCATATCCAGAATTACTTAAGGACATAAGTAGTAGATATACTAGGCCGGTTCTAAGCCATGGGGCTAGAGGGGAGCGCGGGGTGAGGGGGATACTCGTAGGCGAGGGGAAGCGTAGCGCGGGGATTCTTCGGTGGTGGGGGTATGACGTCATGCGGAATGGCAGTAAGATTTTGGGGACTGCAGTCACGTACAAGATAACAAAAAACATCACAAAAAAAGAAAATATTGCCATGAACAAAAACAATACAAAAACAAATAGTTATAGAATTAAAAGTGTTACAAAGGGTATATGCTCCAACCGTTTTTCAACCAAGATATAGCGTAATGTAATTTTTCTATAGAAACAACGTTTATTAATTATTTTAAATACCTAAATACAACCAAATTTCGTAATTATTGAGAGCAGGTATAGTAGGCGAGTTCTAACCCCTGGGGCTAGTGGGGCGCGGGGGATACTCGTCGGCGAGGGAAAGCGGAGCGTGGGGGATACTTGATGGCGAGGGGAGCGCGGGGAGTACTCGTAGGCGAGGGGGCGCCCCAAAAAATTATTATAATGAATTATAAAAAATAAGTCTTACCTCCTCGTCGTCTTCCTACTTCTCAGCCTCCTCCTTCTCGTCCTCCTCCTACTCCTCCTACTCATCCTCCTCCTTCTCTTCCTCCTCCTCCTCCTCCTCCTCCTCCTCCTCCTCCTCTGTGGAGGATAGAGCCGCCGGAGTCACTCCTCCCCCTCAGCCTCCACGAGGACGCGGATTAGCTCCTCCTCATCATGCAGCTGGAGGAACTCTATCATAAATGCTGCATATTCTTCACCGCTTACGTTATTAACGTAGAAAGGGAAGCCGTTAATGTACGCGACTTCCTCCTCCTCTTCTTCCTCCTCCCAATCATCAATTACGATTGGAACCTCGTCCTCATCCTCCTCCTCGCTTAGGACGCCGTCCTCCTCCATGTGGACATCTTCGACGAGGATGTCCTCCTCCGTCTCAATTAATTTAATTTTTTTGGTGGAGGCTCATTGTCTTCCATGTCTTTTATTGTTTTTTAGTTACACACACTCACAAATTATCGCGTAAGCCACGCGCAACGACACTACTGTGGCTTTTTTCCACGAGTTGCGAAGGATCGAGACGTCACACACAATAATGAATCTACGCTCAATCGATAGCTCAAAACTGCTCATGTAGCACACCCGGATGAGATTCGGCAGAGACTGACGTCGAGAAGCGTCCTTTGCCATAGCAATCCCCTACCTAGAGTACGTTTTACTTTTACGCTGCACAAGAAACACTTATGGAAGAAATGAAACAGTTAAGATCCTAAATAAATAAATAAATAAATGTTAGCAGTCTATAGAATTTTAGACACTACAAAAAAAATTCATAAATAACAAGGGCGCCTGTTAGAAAAGAAAGTATGCGACGATTGAATGCAAGTACGACACCCTTTTTTTCCATTGTCTGTTTATGACTCAATTTTCACAATACGTTGCGTTTTTTTTATTCTTTGTACTAGCGCAAAGAATGGGCAGTAAAAGGAAGTACATATATATACAGGGTAATTCAAAATGAACATAGTGTCCTTAAAATGTCATATTCCTGACTTAATTCTAAGACGATTTTTCCTTCGCCAAAATGTTGTCAGAAGATTAGTTTTTGAATTATAATAAGAAATAGTTAGCGAATGACTGAGCGCGTAGAGAAGGTAGCCAGGGGCGGCGCAACTTACTGTCCGACGCAGATGGTACGGGGTCCCTCGCTGCGGTCAGATGATCGCTACATACGCATGAGCATATGCGATCCCATTCCCATTCTCTCACACACACACACACACACACACACACACATACACACACACAAAATTGTAAAAATTCGATGAGTTCACGTAACAGAGAAAAACTTCTATTTCGAAGGATCACGTACAGCTCCAAACAAATGTTTATGTTAATTAAACTTCCATTACTCTTATAAATTTAATTTAGATATCACACGTTTCCACTGACACAGAATGTACACAGAGATCGAATAATTAATCAGCAAATAATTAATTCCTTTTTTTAAAAACTTATCACTTCGACATATTCACACGCACGCTCGATTTACATACAAACTATTCATTTACTTGAAGAAAACGAGAACTTTTCTACTGTATCTCCATCAATTAAGTATCCGTTTTATTACCGCGATAGTACATAATTATTAGGGTAATTATTCAGAATACTTCCCTCACCTCCGATTTCGATAAAATTAGGCTCATTCGACGCGTTTTTGCATGAAACGAAAGAATCTGGCAGAAAAAAGTGTCGCTCTGCCTCGCCAACCGAGATATTTAGCGTTAAAATTGACGACTATGGAGGTTAGGAAATCTGTCATACCGACTATGTGCAATAAATTAAACGTATGCAGTAGTGCTTAGACAGTGTCCGCTTGGAATATTTCTAACCCATGAAGACAGTGGGGTGTGCGAAAACAGTCTTTTTAACTAGACAGTAGAAAGATCGCGTTCTCACACCCCACTGTCTACATGGGTTAGAAGTATTCCAAGCGGACACTGTCTACGCTGTAACTTCTAGGCGTTTAGGCCCCTAGCGGGTAGGATAGGATACGTATATCTTGTTCGGGGCGGCGTAGCCGCCCCGAACCCAAGCATTACTGTCTATACATCCCACTGTCTACATGGGTTACAAATATTCCAAGCGGACACTGTCTAAGCACTACTACATACATTTAATTTATTACACATAGTCCGTATGACAGATTTCCTAACCTCCAGAGACGTCAACTTTAACGCTAAATATCTCGGTTCGCGAGGCAGAGCGACACTTTCTTCTGCCAGATTCTTTCGTTTCATGCAAAAACGCGTCGAATGAGCCTAATTTTATTGAAATCGGAGGTGAGGGAGGTATTCTGAATAATTACCATTATTAATCATTGCCAATTAGTCATTCAGTGACCAAAAATCACTCGAAAAAAAGAAACACATGCCGCGTTTACTCGACGATAGTTTGCAATCGGCTGATTTTAACAGCGAATCTGTTAGTTAATTACGATGCATCACTGTCGATTAATTATTCGCGAACTGAAAATCACTCGAAGAAAGAAGCATACGATTGTTTACTAACACACGACGCGTTTACTCAACGACAAACAAGCACTAGTCGAATGACTTTAATATCGAATTTATTAGTTAATTATTAATTACTATCGATTAATCACACACACATTCGTCACTTAATAAATCACTCGAAGAAAGGAATACACATGATTAACACAACGCTAATACGACACTCGTTGATTCGTCGAAGCAGTCGATCGATTTTATTGGTTATGTTTACACTATCGCGGTCGAAACACGAGGTCTGTTCTTTATTCTTGCACTAATGAATGGTGCATACGGTGCAATAAATTGAACCTAAAGACGCGTGATTATGTAATTGAAATCTCAGACCGCAGCAAATTCGAAACAGAGTGTACTGCACTCACGTGTTACAAATACCTCGAAGCGTAATTAATTGACTAATATTTCAAAAAATTTATGTTTCGAAGCATTCGTAGCGCCAACTAGCTACAATTGGCTAAAAAGAATCAACTTTATGCGACATTACATAAAATGTAAGAAATGTTGACCTGTTTCGAAAAAAATCAATATCAGAACATTTCATATTATGTTGCATGATATTGATTTTGCTTCCAAACAAGTTAATGCTTCTTACATTTCATGTAATCATAATTTTGCGCCCGTGGTGGACATAATTATAAATTTTTTCCAAATCAGTCAATATTTTTTGCATTTCTCTTCCTATCTTGATCTTTTCTACGTACGAGAGATATTCCTGTAAGAAAGTATTGGTCGCCCTAAAAAGGGCGGATTGCTTTCTATCGTTTTAAAAAGAGTGAAATGATGGATGAAATAAATTTTATAACAGATGCTCAAAATGTCCACCGTCCATTCTAACGCAGGCTCTCATGCGTCTCAATAAATTTCTTTGCACATTCTCCATCATATTTTCTTCGATAGCCCATACGGCATACCGCAATCTTATATCACGATCTTCCATGTCTTCGGGCAGCGTTTTATAAATTAATTCTTTGCAGTATCCCCAAAAAAAAAAAAATCCAGAGGATTAAGATCTGGAGATCTGGCGGGCCAATGTATTGGGCCGTATCGACCCATCCATCGTCCAGGAAATTTCTGATTTAAATAATTCGTCACTGTTCTAGCGTTGTGTGGCTCCGCACCGTCTTGCTGAAATACAATTTTGTCTCTCTCGAATAATGGTATTTCTTCTAAAAAGTCTGGTAGATTGTCCCTTAAAAACTCTAAATATTATATGTTTCTCCATTTAAAATATCCGGGAGAACAACTGGACCTAGTATCTGAGTTCCCATAATTCCTGTCCAGACATTCATCTTCCAACGAATTTGGAAGTTTCTGTTTCGCGTCACTCTAGGATTTTGATCGCTCCATGCGTGCATGTTATGCGAATTAAATACTCCTTCTTGCGTAAATAATGATTCATCGGTAAATATTATTCGAGATGAAAATCTTGGATCTCGATCTACTTTTCTTAAAAAGTTTTCGCAGACCGTTTTCCATAGAGGCTAATCTTCTGGTCGTAATTGTTGCACGCGCATATAATGAAATGCATGCAATTTTTCTTCTTGTAATATCCTCTGAACGGTCGAATATGATAATCCATATTCACGAGTAATTATTCGAATACTCGTTTCAGGGTTTCGATCAATAGCTCGAATAATTTCTTCCGTATTTCGCAAATTTCTTGCAACACGGTTCCTTCCAACGTCGTGGTTATTTAGTAGGACACTGCCGGTTTCGTACAATCTTTGAGCCGCTCGGAGTATGACAGCAGCCGACGGATGTCTTTGACGGTTCGGGTACAATTCCGCGTACCGCCTTGCAGCAGGATAATACTGTCCATGGCATTCGCCCAGTACCATGAGCATATCGTAATACTCTTCATTTGTATAAGCCATTTGATCTTGATAAATAATCAGAGGAAAATCTTGATTTTTCGCTTCCGAATCTCTCTTCGCTTCCGAATCTCTCGACAATCTTCCGCTTCAAGCGATCAAAGGATTATTGAGCGACGTATCGATCCGCATCACATTTATACAATTTTCGCGTGGGGTCGATACCCCCTCTGCGACCCCACCCGCGAATCAGACGTTTCGCGGGTCGCGGTCTGCGCGGGCGTTCCGATTTCGAAAGCATTTCGAAAATTCTGATCAAAAAAGACATCACATAATGATCTTTTAACTTCAGGTTAGAGTAACTTCGTTAAAAATGGTCATAATGCGATTTTTAAAAAGCATTTTAAAGGTTGAAATCTCTACTTTCAAAATCAGTAATTGATATTTCAATCTAACTGATCTTTGACGGAGCTATACGGACACAAATGGATATTTGTCAAATCTAAAACATATCGTATAATTTTGTAAAGAAAAACACTTTACAAAGGTCTATAGCGCGAGGTAAAAATTACACGAAAGTGCGGTTCGCAGCAGTCGAAAGAGTGAATCTTTACCTTCAATTTCCTTTTTTATTGATTGTTGTACGATTTTTTCCCACCGAGTTATTGAACGTTAAAGTAGAAGTGATCACTTTTGCTTCATCGTTCAATAATTCGGTGAAAAAAAATCGTACAATGTTTAATAAAAAAAGA